TCTTATGTAGTGAAGGAATCATATTTTGAAATATATATATATATATATATATATATATATATATATATTACGATACTTTAAATGGTGCTTCGGCAACATGTCACATGATTTGCCACGTGGCCTACTCACCTATGAGTTGCATTTGCGTCAACGGCAGCATTCAGTAATTAATCTGAAACAGTTTCTGACCATTGCTATTTTTATTATTTTCATTTTCAGTCATAACTGAATTGTTTTCTCTGTGCATCATCAAATAAAACCATATAATATGGATCAATGCCTGGGAATTAAAAACTCACCATCTGAGAATCAAAAGCAATAATCCGAAAAGAGAACCCATCATCGATGGCAAGTGAATCACAGATGTCACATCAGAAATATTCCGTCTCCTTAGCTGAACACCTTTACAAAAGCTAATGGGACCAACGCGCCCACTCGGCTATGTTATAGATGGCTTACAAGATGGTCCGTTCGCATTTTGATTGATATTTTATGTAATTCAGTTGGGTTTTTAGTTACCCGCCTGATTAGAAAAAAAAAGAAGAAAAAAGTGGTTCCGGAACCTGTTTCGTCGCTGATAACAAGACGATATATGGTACCAGTAGCAGCCGTAAAGTGATCTGAAATATGAACAAAACAGATAATCGATTTGTCGGCAACTAATATCTGATGCCATTACAAAATGCAAGTTCAGTTTTACTAATATATTTATTTATATAATACGCACATAATACATAGATTTGCGCATGCATAAATTAACACATAATATACATTTGCAACACACACACATATATATATATATATATATATATATATATATATATATATATATATATATATATATATATATATATTGAGTTAAATAAAATACCCATATACACTTGCAATATATTCTACACACAAATACACATATATAATATGCACGCACACACAAAAATATGAATTAAATTAGAATTATGTAGTTTACACTTTTATCAAGTCAGACAGTAATTTCATTTACTGAGTTAATTGTTTTACAACTTATGTGAAATCAGTGATTTTTAATAAAATTTGGGTTTAGATTAAAATGGCCATTTGAACAAATTCAATTGCTGCCATATTAACCGTAAAACATTCACACACACACACACACACACACACACACACACACACACACACATATATATATATATATATATATATATATGTAATTTATTTTAGGATATTACATAGAAAAATTACATCAAAATCGTTACAGTAATAATAATAATAAATAATACGGCTCTACTTTATTTAAATTAAATGATACGAACGCTGGAATTGTACTCTATTCATTCTCATCTTACCTATATATATATATATATATATATATATATATATATATATATATATATATATATATATATATATATATAAATAAGAAAAAAGCTAAAAGATTCAAATATGCTGAAAAGCTTCAACTACAAAATGAACTGGTGGTTCAATGCCAAAGTTGATATAGCCTAAATATAGTATATTATGATAATAATATTAATACAATATCAAAATTAAAATAAAACTGTATTCATTTTTTATTAATAGCTGTTGTTTCGAATTTAATAATTTCCCGTTCAAAAAAAGATCATATATATATATATATATATATATATATATATATATATAGTAAGATTAAAAGCTAAAAGATTGCAATAAGCTAAAAGCTTAAAATACAAAATAAACCGTAGGTTCAATACCAACGTCGACAGATCTTTAATATAAATCCAGCGGATGATTGTTGTTACATGAAAAACTGAGTAACGGATATTGATATAATTGTATTAACGAGATATACCTATCTATCTATCTATCTATCTATCTATCTATCTATATATATATATATATATATATATATATATATATATATATATATATAAAGGTAGTAATAATAACACTAGAGTTTTATGCTATCAAGTGTTTCGTCTCACGTCAAGAAAGTGTTCAATATCAAACAGACCTTCGAAATGAAGATCACACAGCAGGAAACTTTCCATTACATTTAGTTTTGTTTTTATAATTGGTGACTGCTCATATATATATATATATATATATATATATATATATATATATATATATATATATATATATGGGTGAGAGGAGTCATTGCCAAATGGTTAGTGCAATCGATTATACCAGCGTTTTCACCCAATCTTAGTCACTGAAACCGGGTAAACGGAAGTGGTCAAAACGGAAACTGTCTATATCTGTGCCAGCCTGAAGTTATAACTTATGTCCGAGAATTTAAAACAGTTGATTACGTCGGACTCTGCCTTATCTGCCAGAACCTGTAACTAATGTCCGCTCGGCATAGTTGGAGAAAACTACAGGTGTGATATCGATGTGTTAAACAAACACAAATATGCATAACAATGTGCCTGCAATATGGATTGGCGGACCGCCCCATCAGATGAGTTTGTTCCGAAATGAGTAGCCATTAGAAGTGTCACATTTAAAGATTCGTTAGCGTAAAATAGTATCATGTAAATACGAAAACTATAAGAAATTATATTTATTTTTTATTTATCTGCGTTGGCCCACATGATGGGGGAAATAATATACCACTTCGGTGTCATAGGCTCCTATTCAAGACAAGATAAAATGTTTGAATATTGATTTTTAAGGCATAAAAACGCCGTCTAGTAAAAGAATTGTGTGTGTGTGTACATGTATACGAAAGTGTTACTCTAAATTTAGGGGAATTTAAAGCGCAAAATGTCTTCCCCCATGTAAGAAAATATTAACAAGTTAATAAAGAATATATATATATATATATATATATATATATATATATATATATATATATATATTTAAAGAAAACAGACAACTTTAAGGGTCCATGGTTATAATTTATTTCCACATGGAGTTTCTTTTTCCCAGGCTCATCAGACCTCACTTCTACGGATGAAAAAATGAATTTAAATTTACATACAATTTTTTTTACATTTTTGAGGGGTAGTATTAAGTTGACGTAAGGTGATAAAGAGAGTGGTGAGACAGTGTAACAGACATGGTTAAAATTAGAGAGGGAAGGGAGAGATAGGAATGATCTTAAATTTATTTTTATTACAATACTTAATAGAGATGAGCGGGGGTAAGGATCAGACAT